GATGTGGCCTATACAATGACTTGCGGGGGCCAGCCGATGTACAAGTCAGTGTTTTTATCCTCCCAGACAAGTCTGGTACCAATTAACCGACCCCGGAGGGATGGAAGGCTTGGTTGGCCCGGGCGACTCACGACCCAGGATTTGATCCCCGGACCGCTCGCGTGGTAAGCGCGCCACTTGTCACTACACCACTTCCGCCCTAATAACTCGAATAGACGAATAAATACCTGAAATTGTCCGACGTCATTCCTCTCATAGTTCAGTTCATCTTTGAGTTCATCGTCCCTTTCTCAAATTACTTCTTGTTTATTTTATCGCCCTATATCAGTTTCTTTAGCGGTCGGTTTTCTCACGGTTTTTGTGCTCATTTCTGTACCATTTTGGTATCAGTCCAAGAATACTTATTCCTGAGCTTCAGAAAATGATTGGAATGGTCAATGTACAGTGCGATTCGCCCATAGACTACTACGCGGCCGCACCTCTTCATCCGACTCCACGCAGCTCCTGTGACGAAGGTAAACATCATTCTCCACTACCAGTTTCCTACCAAAATCAGTCATCCTGAAAATGCGATCTCGTTTTCCCATTGTAAGTAACAACCTCAATGTCACAAAAACTTGTCGTGATGGCGAGAGGTGTCTGGAATCGAAAATGGAGCTGCCAACTGCTAGTTATAATGGGAAATCGACATCGCTATTATTTATATGACCTTTCGCGCTCTGGATGCAAAGTAAAATTAGTGGTTTCAGTGGTGAGGCCTCCTTTGAAACGGACTCCGTCGTATCGACCATTATTTTTGAGTCACAAACACAAGGTTGAATATTCTGCCGATGGAAGGAAGATGACCGATGGCGTCATGACAGAGGTGAGATTTTGAATAAGGTGTAGAGAACTACCTGTTTGGTTTGAAAAGTTAATCGCTTTTGCTTTGACATTTCGTAGCACATAATAATTGGATTTATTTTTCGGTTTCTGAACGGGGTTGGGCGCTATCCTGGTAAGGGGGAGGCGGGGCTTGGGATGATGTCTAATAGGCGTGCTCACCCCATACCCCCTGAACTGGCCTTAATTTTTTTTTTTTTTCTGGCTGACGGGGTCCGTATCTTCCGAGAAACTGTGCGCGGGGGAGTGTAGGCATGGTCTTAGGGGGGTGGGGGGCGGTGGAGCGGCAGCCAGTTTGAGCCCCCTTACTGCATGATGAACGGGGTTGTATTGTTAAGTTCTCCGTTTATCGAGTTTATAGATCTATGAGGTTTCGCAAGAGTCGCAATTTCGCCGAATTTGCATTTTACAAAGGCTCGCACTTAGGCGTGATGACATTTAATCGGCCTTTGAAGCATAATCTCCTTGCATTGTTATCAATAGATGATAAAGCAATGACGCGCCGCCACGTTCTCACGGGAAACGCTTATTGTGTAGGATTAGAGGCGTTCAGCGGTCAAACTTGGGAATTCGCCCATATCAATACCAAATCGAATGGGAAAAAGGCCTAAACATCGCAAACGTGAATGAGCTCGGTGAAAAAGTGGTACGAATCCTTGATGATGCCTGTGTGCTTTTCTTACTTGTACGCTTCATTTGGGTCTGCAGTTTATTACCAGTCTTCTGGTAAGAGAGCGTTCCTTATACCATATCGTATCTCATTTTATTAAATTTTTCATCCAATTCCATCAAGTTTTTAGGTGAAGACTTCTATTAGTGACCTAGTTAGGCAACTAATCAAAGTCTCCACCTGAAAATCTAGTTGGCAAGAAGAATAAACAGTTATAATTACAATAAACGAGTGCCGAGGCCGAATTCCACAAAGAGAGACGTTGGAGTCTGTTCTCAGGCTTTTTATTATTCCGATCATGCTTCTGATAGTGCAAACCTCTGATACCTGATCTCATAACGCCTTGGCAATGTTGTCGATCTGCATCAGTCAATTCATTGTCATAAACCTCACTGAATAATTTGCCATGATGCCAGTGCACAGTCTACGGAAAGTTGTTTCGAGCTGGTTGGCTCGATTTCGGACTTCGGCCTGAGCCAAGGCTTTTTCCGGGATCGCTTCCTTATTTCGCATATCTCGCTCCTGCGTGCCAAGATAACACTATCTTTGGTAGCATACGACGCCTGTTCTAATTTTGGTTTCTGGACCGCTTATAGTTTTTCCTACTTGGTTCATTTCCTTTCCTTACCGACTGCCTACATTTCTTGGGTTCCTGCAAGAGTTCATCAGTCCTTTTGGACATCATTTCATTACTAACTCCTCACAATCGGGCGGAAGTGGTGTAGTGGCAAGCGATGACTGCTTATGATAGACGCGCGTGGTCAAATCCTGGGTCGTGAGTCGCCCGGCCAACCAAGCCTTCCATCCCTCCGGGGTCGGTTAATTGGTACCAGACTTGTCTGGAGGATAAAAACACTGACTTGTACATCGGCTGGCCCCCGCAAGTCATTGTATAGGCCACATCGCATTCAAACGCCACTACGAATGTACAAATGGAAGTAGAATGCGTGCCGCATCCCAAAAGGGATTGATCAACGGCAAATGCTTTATCCTTCATCCTTTAACCCTTGATAAAGCAACGTCATGGTTTAGGTGCTATACAGCATTTTGGTTAACGTGGCTCGGGAGAGGCAGTCGCCGCCGCGGCGCATACCATGTTCGCGACAGAGTGGAAACTCGAACATTCAGCTTTCCACGCATGTCAAGTCAGTCAAATTTCCCGCTCCGCACTGAGATACGCGAACATGCACCGTGACGGTTACTGCCCCCCCCCCCCACTAGGGTCACGATGCACTAGCATTTTTAATGAGCAGCCCGAGTTCGTAGAGCACATAAAAAGAAAAATTAAATGTCATTTTTTCAAGACATTCGACAATTATTTTTATACTCTTGTGACCTCTCTTGGGTAACAAACGAACCGTAAGCAATAGTAACCTAGTTTCAGAAAGCAGAGCCAAACAAGCTATGGGAGGAGCTCATTCTTCGCTCTTATGTAAACCGCTTTGAGGATGAAATCCAAAGCCCCGTGGAGTCATACAAGACGTTAGAATCGGAATTGGAAAAGCTGAATATCAAAGGTGAGGGTGGTGGGTTTTTCTACCATCAATAAGTGGCGTTCAAGTGGAGACGGGAGCCGCTTAAAAGGATTAGGCAACTTTGATTTGATGATTTCAGACAAATCTCTGTATCGCTCCACCTATTCGCTGGTGTCTCCGAATCGAGTCGAAGGTGTCAGAATGCATTTGGAGGAAGACGAGTCAAGTAATCGAAAGTGAGTGAATACAATATTTCTGATGCAACTTGTGGCAAACATCGAATCGCGCCACGATTCGATTTGATTCGTCATCAGTTTCTATCAAAAACCGCGACGCTCTGACACTCTTAGACAAACATTGGTGCCTCAGCAGCAAAAGACACCTTTGCAGATTCATTCACGGCATTATTGATGACAGAAGACGTCACAAATAGTAGAATATAGTCGGGGTAGGTCTAGCCCTTTGCTTTCTCCGCGCCCTGGACTTCATTCAGAATCGCAGCATTGAAATGGGTATTTTGATCAGGCATTTACCACCATTAACATCCGACCTAATCAATGGTTTCTACCCACCAATACTTATTAGTGAGCGCTTGTCCGACTGCGGGGGATAGAAATCCCAGCTGCCTTCAATTTGATCTCACAGATTATGTAGGCCGTAAATATTGGCTTTATTTCTGGAAGCACTTCAACTAGAGAGCCTGGAACTTGAAAAGGTAACGCGGAACCGATTAGTAGAGCGCTCTGAGGATACAGGAACACTTGGCAATCTTACTGCAATACTTACCGTTTTTTCCCACCCATTAAAGGAGTGCTCATTCACGGATTGCCACATAAGCACTGCGAAAGTACAAAATAGGAGTGCCTGGAAAAACCTGGTTCTCATTCAAATCCTCATGATGGTGTCTTCGCTCGACTGTGCCGTCCGACGTCATTCGCTTCACTCACGTTCAGAATGACTAACTTGTCAAGGCTCGCGCACGTAGTACGAGCAGTACAGCTCAGGCCAATCCGTCAATAGTTACGTAATGCCGTCTTAATGCCTACCTGGAAATCACTCGTCGGTGACGGCGTATCCGCAATGGTCGATGATAAATGCAACAGTTCCCCGCACTGCAATTCCATGTCAGCGAAGAATTGGACATTACCGGTGCAGTAGCTCATCAGGGAACTACGGATGGCAACTTTAACCTCTTACAGGACCTTTGAAGTTCCTCCTTTATCTCGCCCAGCATGAGCATTTTCCATTACCCCGAAGTAAATTTTATAATGGAGTGAGGGGGCGCTTCTGACTCTTCCACTCCAAGAAGGAGCTGATAGTCCAAAGACTTCTCAACGAATTCTAGTCAGTTGAACAGTTCTTGCATACTCGCTTAAAGGCACAAACCCTAGCAGATGAACTCGTGTGTGACGTCATTCCTTCTGTCTAGACTCCCTAGAGGACAATCACAAATGTGGCGTTCTCGTGCACGGAAACCAACCGATAAGAGCGCTTGGGCCTTGCAAAGTAAGCTGCCCAAGCTGCAGACTTTTTTCTCTTATCAGCTGTTGTCTGGCGATCTCTCATCTGTAGCGCTCTCTCGCCCCATACTCTCCTCTCCGCGCTTAGTCTCTCATTCCCTTAGCACAGCCGATTAGGAAGGTGAGTGAGCCCTTAACCTAAGCGTTTTTGACGGATTCTTTTCCTTTTTCTTCACTGCCGGCCCACTTCCCACCAATACATTCGCATTCGTGTACGAGGAGCCACACCAATGTGATCCTGGGGCATGCCTTTAAAACATAGCACTACGTGTACTATTCAACTACCCAGCGCATTCATGCTTTCTGGATCCCAACCGAAAGCTTTCGCCATGGCGCATTCAGGAAAGACACCAAAACTTATCAAACTCATATATTGATATATAAACATTTTAATTCAAGAATTGATGGAGTTCGAGAAAAGTCGCCGATATTGAACCTGCCTGTCAAATACACATCAATCGAGTCGTAATTTATAAGAAGTATTTGTTCAGGCACAAACGCTTCGTGACACGGATACTGAAGGCTCCTAACTCTTTCATCAAGTCAAATAAATAGCGAAAACCAGAAGATCGGACAAGTGACATGGCTACACTATCAGTATTGTAAAAGGACATTTTCATCCAGATCACATGATGGCATCTCGTTCGCTTTGCTTTAACTCACGTATTCTCTATTAACCCATGTATTAAGTATCACTCGTTATCACATATCTACGTGTTTTATCTCCGAGTTCATCTGACGACTAGGCCTTTTTTACCTATGCCTGGAAACTGATCAATGCTTCACTGAAAATTCGTCGTCATTGAAATCAGAACTTAATTGGCCGTTAGCTTCATGGACCTTACCAGTAACAATCATCACACAGTATTTGACCTGTAAATTATGTGCCTTTTAACTAAACGAAAAATTTTTCTGTTTTGTGTCGCAACAAAACTTATAGCTATTAATGCACCCTGAACGTTCTATATTCCTGTGATTGTATTTAAGTGCCTTAATCTCACGTTGCTATAAAGGAGATAGGTACAGGAATAAAATGAAATACCAAACACTTTTTGTAGAGCATATTGTTCAATAAAAAATTTTATGCCTATACGATTTCAAATTTTGGACCCAAGTAAATCGTATATAGAAAGTTATAAATACGACTCAATCATGCCGATGAAAAAGGGGGCAGAATGGCTGATGTCACAAGTTTGAAAGCGTCTGATACAATCAGTGTGATATGACTGTTATGCCTGAAAGATAGTAGAGGCCCGAATAGGTGGACCGCCAGTGAAAAAAAGACGATAAGAAGCTCGGATATAAAGCTGAGGCACTCGAAGGAAGCCGCAGGAACACTGAAAGAAAGGACCTGTTTTCGTAGGGACACTGAAATAAGACCGTTTGTTGATAGTCTGAAGTAAACTGTGCCAAGAGCGAAGCGAAGACATTTCAAGAGAATTGCCCGAGAGAACACACAATTGAGATAAGAGGGCATAGCGAGACGTGGGACATCTCATAAATTCTTACTAATAAAAAGAGGAGCGGCGTTCTGCGACGAGTCATGACAAGGTCTAAGCCGCCTCGCGCGTTTTCAAGCAGCAGCAGAAAATGTGTCTCTTACTTTGTGGACAGTTCTATCCTGCCCACAAAGGTATCAATCCGAGCGAACTCAATCTGGGAGTCTGCATTAGTAGAGGCAAATCCACCAGATCGTACTAAACGTTGTTGTAGACTAACCATCTTGGGTTTCGCGTAGATGTTAGAAGTGATGTAGTAGCGGTGGTGGTGGTATATTAGCTCTATGCCATTTATCACACGTGCGGTCAACTAGTCAGACGCCGGGTCAGAACCCGTCTATCCAGCCAAACCTTCCATCTCTCTGCGGATCGGTTAATTGAGGCACTCAACTTGCCCGAGAATACAAAATACTGAAGTGGACTCGGTTGGCCCCGAAAGTTGTACAGGTGAAATCGCAAAAATGCCAATGACACTGAATGGAAGTGCAATGCGGGCATATCACAAAACAAAGTGGTCAACGCCAAATGTGGTTTTTCCACTGCAGCAACTTCCTAATTTTGTAGCTCACCCTTCTTCCGCTTTTCTTCGACGAAAACTGAATAAAGAAGAAATTTATTTGATTTTTTTTATCTACAACGCAATGCGAAATTAATGACTGCCGATGTTCAAGGTTGAGCCATAATTAAAGGAGGATTCCACGATAAGAGCGATGGGGGAAATTGCCCGGTTGGGAAACAGGCAAACCTCATGAGGAGCGGACCGACGCGCAATTGGCAGCGAAAGATTTGACCTCGGCGATCTAGCATGGCTCACTCTTGGCGCAGTTGGCGCGGTACGCCCACCGACATAGCAGAGAGAGCGTTAGCGTTGAAGAGGGCACGATGAGAGTCGCATCAATGCGATC